GTTCGGTAATAATCTTAACTCGTAACCGAACATGCTTGGTTCCGTTCACGACTTATCTTGAATGAGTAATCAAAATATACTCGATTTTTATTATTTGACATATTATTATAATTAATCCCATCTTATAAATCCATTTATAAAAATAAACAGACTAGAATTAATTATTTAATGAACTAGCTCGATTAAATAAAAATTAACCGAGAATACTTTCAACTTGAACTTTTAAATGAATAATTTAATAACTGAGCTCAAAACTAGGAACGAGCATTATTAATAAAAGTAATTAGTTCAAACTTAGAACTAAAATAATTACTTTTATTAATTACTAAATGGGATATTACACCATCGCATAACTGAAATAACTGAAAGAAATAAAAAAAAATAAAAAATAAACTTTCGAGTAGAAGTGCGAAGAGCGTATGCGAGCAATATGCGGCAATTTGCATACCCCATCGCATAACTGAAATAACTGAAAGAAATAAAAAAGAAATAAAAAATAAACTAACTTTCGTGTACAAGTGCGAAGGGGGTATGCAAGCAATATGCGGCAATTCGCATACCCCCTCGCATAGCTGAATTAACTGAAAGAAGTAAAAAAATAAACTTTAGAGTAGAAGTGCAAAGGGAGTATGCGAGAAATATGCGGCAATTCGCATACCCCATCGCAAAACTGAAAGATGAAAGAAAGAATAAAAATTCTACGAAAAAAACTTATAATGCACCAACTTTGCGAATATGCGAGTTCGTATGTCGCAGAATAATTTTTTCGACTAATAGTCGCAGATTCATTCGCCTAATAAGAATAATTATTTAATGGGCGACGGACCGCGATTGACCGAATTGTACATCGAATCTCCGCATACTCGTCGCAGAACAGTCGCATACTTTAACTCATAATTTTCTCGCTCATGCTCATACCGGTCGTCTATCTATCGCATAGTTCATCGCATATGTCTTCGTACTTTTTGGGGTGAAAAACTTAGCTTTTTATTAGGCGGTGTGAAAAACTTAGCAGGACTTCAAAATGGGGTAAAAATAGCTATTTTCACTATATATATATATATATATATGTAATATATTAGATTAAATATATTTAATTATCATTATCCTTATTAACCAATTAAATAAATATATATTGATTGAGATTATGTGGACTAGGACATGCCAAGGCTCATTAAAGAAATATATAGAAGATAAACCATAAAAAGCCCATTTAGTTTTCACCTTTTATTGTATTATATTATTTCTTTATTAATAAAGCTACTGTAATTAACATAAAGAAATAAAATTCAATTTAAGAGTCCAGAGATAGAAACACACAAAACAACGACACCGAGACGTACAACATAGCGGAGGCAAGCTTGCAAGGTAAAAAAAATAGAACATATTTGCAGCAACAACAAGGATCCTCGGTCCAATTCCTTGATTCTTCCAAATAATTTGATCATTTATTTATATTTATGAGTATTTTAATTTATACCCATATTCATAATTTTATTTATTTATCCTTTTAGGGATTTAGAGTTTAAAATATGTGTGTATTTATTCATCATTCTTATGTTTAGTGACTATCACTAAATAATCTAATAGCACAGAGCGTGTATTTTCGACTATGACTATCGTTAAATCCAAACTTCGAAGTAAAATGGAAAATGTCATTCTTGTAATTCTTTGACTATCTTCGTTGAAAAGAAAATTGCAAGATCAATTATACTATTGAGTCAATCATCGATGGGTTTCGTGACTTGAGAGAACGTCGAGCAGAATTCCAATAGCTACAAAATGTAAACTTCGAAGTAAAATGGAAGATGACTTTCTTGTAATTCTCTGACTATCTTCGTTGAAAAGAAAATTGCAAGATCAATTGTACTATTGAGTCAATCATCGATGGGTTTCGTGACTTGAGAGAACGTCGAGCACAATTCTAATAGTTACAAAGTTTGAAAGGTATATATTTTCTTGAACTACTTTTTTTTTCAATTCTAGAAATACAACTTTGTCTTTTTAATGAAGCATGTCATTGAAAAGTATTTAGTCCCCCCTAATTAAATTTTCTGGATCTGCCCCTGGCGTCTTAGTCGTCGTCTACTGTTCTACATTTTGATAATTAGAGTGCTATAAAGATGTCTCTTAATCGTTTCATGAGCGCACCAAACATATATTGAGATTGACTGTCAACTTCATTCGACAACATGTAGGACATGAGACTTTGCAACTTGTTTCAGTCTCCTCTACGAATCAAACAGTAGATTTGTTCACTAAGAGACTCCTTCCCAGTCGCTTTTTTTTTTTTTTTTATATATACATTTTAGCAAAATCAAGTTGATCTCTACTATATCACTTTGAATTTGAGGGGGTATTAGTTGTATAAAGTGTATTATTGTATTGTAGGTTATGTTTAGGCTCAACTTAAAGTTAAGATCTATCTATATATTTATATATGTGTACATGTCTTTGTGAATACACATTAAATAATTTTTTCACATTCTCACAATTACAATATCATTTGCTTGGGATTCAGTCGCACGTCACACAGTTAGCAAGCTGCTAAATAGAAATTGTCTTTGTTTATGCCTCAACAGAAGTTGCGGATACATAATCTTCCAACGGTAAATTTGGTCATAGCGATTTAATACAGAACAAGTGTTATAATAAAGGGATTTCCAAGCAATTAGTAAAAAATAAAAGATAAATTGCATGAACCTACGCAAATGCAAGCTGGGTCATCAATCCAATCCATACATAAAGGGATCAATCACTTCTTGCAAACAATCCCATTTCCTCCGGAAAACTTACCCGAACAATCCATGCTCCCCTGATCCATTACATCCCCCAAGCCCTGCGCAAACCCATTCTGATCAAAAACGCATTTCTTACAGTCGGCTGCGAAAAGCGATGTGGTCCTATACTTATCCTCCCCACCAACCACCGCCATCGCAAGGCCCAATCTAGACGGGGCCTCATAATCGGGCCTGTACGTGTGGCCCAACACACCCTCCACCTCTCTGGACAGCCCAAAAAAGTTGAACTGCACCTCGAGATGCGAAAAGCAGTCGCCCGACGGCAGCTGGTAGTTATGAATCCTGTCGTCCTCTTTCGTTATGGGAACAACATTCACCCCAATCTCCACAATCTCATTTACGGACAAGACTATGCTATTGGTGTCCGTTATCCTCTGCAATGTGACGTCACCATTTTCGGATCTCCACTGGGACAGGTGGCCACGTGGCAGGACTAGTTCTCTGCCGTCCAACCCGAACCTCAAGTGGTCCGTGTTTTGGTCCCATTTGTCGGCCGTGGTTGCCTCCACGGAGAAGTTGTGGGGCCCGAAGCGGAGGCCCAGGGCCTGAATCCAGGTGTAGTCTCGGGCCCGGCCCGTGGGCCTGTGGCCTATGAAGCGGGCGTTGATATGGAGGTTTTTGTCAGAGACGAGTGCGAAGTGCTCATTTTTCTTGCCGTGGAAGTAGAAGACACCGCCGTCCGGGCCGATGAACCGTGGGTCGTAGCACGCGGCCCCGGCCCCATTGCAACTCGGCTTCCGATCTAAAAATCATCTTACACATAATTAATTAATCGGTTTAATTGCAAAATGTAGTCAGTATCTTGTACGAGGCGGCAATAATAGCCACTATTTTTATGAATTGTCAATAGTAGCAAAAAGCTTTTAAAATTTCGAGGTTATTATCTATGTCCGACCAAATTCGATAGCTATTATTGCTACTGCGTGGAAAGATACTGGTTAAATTTAACAATTTATCCTCGAATTTGGCCGGATTTGGGTAATAAACCCGAAATTTTAAAGGTTGTGGGCTACTATTGTCAATTTGTAAACATAGGATTGTTAATGCCATTAGATACAAGATATTGACTATATTTTGTATTTATCCTTATTAATAAATCAGTTGTTATTATACAGAAGGTAAAATTTCAATTTTGGTCCGCTTACTTGTCTAAATTTCTTTTTTGTACAAACTTTTTCCTTATAACAAATAGTACGTTATGTTGCAATTTGTATCATTTTTAGGAAATTAATCCGAAAAAATAATGAACCATTTTCGGGACTAATGTCCCAGTAGTGATACAAATTACAACATAACGTACTATTATTGATGAAGGGAAGTTAGTGTACCGAAAAAGAACTTTATGCAACTAAATAAGGGACAAAAATTGAATTTTTGCCCGTACAAAAACTCAAACCAAATATAGATATTTAATCAAATTAATCAGTTACTCGCGCACGTACGTTTGCATTGTGCAGTGCACATTGGAGAATTGCAATCTACGTAACAAGCTTTGGCCTTTGGGTCAGTTGGGGTAGTGGACGGGCACTGACTCGGGCAACCAATGCGTTTGAGGAAGCAACGGGACGCACTCCTCGTGCAGGTCCTAACTTGTGGAATAACAAGTGCACATATTTGTGATGAGCACACCAATAACAACAATAATTGGAACTTCATTGTGGCGAATTTAATTGCAAATGATTATCAACAGTGTACAAACAAACTCTCGCTTTCATATCATAACATTGACTTCAAACACTCTTATTTATAGCAAACTGACAAGGGTGGGTGTAGGTCCTTGGGGCATCGCATGTGACACGGGGTGTAATCTACGCGTATGATATGATTATTAATCAAGATACAGCTGCTATTAATTACCTACATTTTGTGTATTGTTTTCCTAGTCCATTTGTCTTCAATTTTATACTATTTAATAAGCAATTTGTTATATGATATATCAAAGTCAAAAAGGACTAACCNTCACACTTCTTTTAGTTTGTTTTATTTATTGTTACTTGTACAGCATAGTTACTTTTATACGAACAATTTATGAATGTTCCCAAAGTGAGCACTAACTCTAAGCAATCTAGTTTATCACAAATACAAAAGAGAGATTGAGAGAGAATTAAAGTAAAATAATTTCCCAATACATAGTAGGGGTAGGGTGATTCTAGCCTCTTTTTAGCTTTGTACATACTTAACATCAAGTATGCTTCAAATGAATATCAAGTGTCTATGTCGTTTTGTTTAATTTACAGAAAAGGTCTTTAATTATTTCTTTCTTTAACATTCACACTAGATATAATTACATATCTCAATTAAATCACTAAATTAAGAAAAGGAAAAAATGATTAAAAAAAATTGCCCCAAACCCCAATTTCCCTATCGTAACATGAGCCACCCAAAAGAACTCAGACATAAGAAGAAGAAAGCAAAGAAAGCTATCAGATTCAGCCTTCTCCGGCGAAAAAAAAAAAATCAGACTTTTCCGGCGAAGCAGGTGAAGGCGAGCACGGCGAAGCGACGATAGAAAAACCTCCCCTTCGGCCGACAACCTCGAAATCGATCGGGTCGAATTCCAACGCAGATCTGGACTCCCCTTCGGCCCACAAGCTGCAGCCCGGTCCGATGATCCTCAAAACCTCCACCAAGAGCGCGGTGTCGGTTTCTTGTTTCCTACTTTTTAAATTCAGAAAATTTAGAACTAATGAATCAATGGGGTTTTTCTTTTTCTGCTGCAAGTGTGAGTTAAATCACATGTTTGAGAGGTTTTTGGTATCATATTTTTTCGGGTATTTATTTCTGTTTTCTTTTTATAAAATGCTTGCTTACATATCCGTCGAAGTTCTCGTCTTTAAACTTTCTTGTTCAAATGTGAAATTGATTTCGGAGGTCATCTCACCTCTTGCTATGCATACACTGGACGACACATATCAATCATATTTGTGAACTCATATAGACCGTATATTAGTTTGATTGCTGTGAACTATGGTTACCGTGGGTGGGGTATGTTAAGGAATCAAGCATTGTGAAATCCTCTGAATGGACCTGATTGTCCGAGACAGGGTAATGAACAGTAAATGTAGTTTTGTGGGTTTGAAAAATGGTGCTTTATATTTCTGGATGGGGTTTGAAAAATGGTGCTTTATATTTCTGTGAAGAGTACACATAATGCAATACAATCACACGATATGCAAAACTAGAAATTAGGCTGGTCTTAAAGTTGATAATAATGTCAAAGGGTAATTGAAGCTGGGGCCTATGCCTTAGTTGCTGGCTCTGCTGTTTTGGAGCCCCCAATTACGCCGAAGGTAAGATTGCAACATCACCACTTGAAATTCATTAAAAATCTTCGTCATAACTAATATTTCGTGGCCAATGTATCATTTTTCTTGTTTGCAGCTATTAAAGGCATCAAACCCAGCAAAAGGCCTGTGGCTGTTCCAGTTAAGATTTCCACTGGAGATTTTATTTGGGCATATATATTGGGGTTCAGTGATCTATAATCCGAGGTTAGTCGAGTTGGTTGTTATTGATAATACTTTTTCTTGATTGCAAGTATTCTACGCTAATGGAGCTTCTAAAATCTAATTCGTTATTCGTTAATCATTTTTTTTTTAAGAGGGTTGGTTTTTTTTTGCTGCAGAAACATGCACAACCACTTGGAAAGGCTCGTTGTTAGAGTTACCATTATAGGATTCGTTTGTCTTGTCAAAGAAGGATGACTAGAAAGACTAGATTTTGGCGACATATGCTCGTAGCATATAAAATACTCATTGAGGATTTCTTGTAATGAATATAATAGGCTAATAGTCTTCAGGTAACTGGTTATCAGTTACAATCATAATGCAAGCTTATTATCAGTATATTTTTTGAATGAGCTTTTTGCAGTGAATGCAGATAAGTGAAACTGTGCAAAAATGTGCAACTATCTTAAACCTATTTTCATGAAAAACTGAAACAAAGTAAAGACGACGGGGTGAGTGAAAATTTGAGCGGTTTACTAATTTTGGAGTTCCTGGTTCCCTGTTTGATAATTGAAGAAAATGTACTTAATTATCTTTTAAATATAAAACTTTATTTTACATTTTTTAATATTTAGTTTTAGTAATTCAAAATTTTATAATAACACTCATGTAAAATTCGTTCATAAATATAAATAGAATTACTTTTTATCTTTCCAGCTTATGCACATTGCACACTAGCACATACTCGTAAGATGTACTGTGAATCAATATTATGATTAAAGTAAAGATGTTAGGTTATATTAGATCACTAGTAAAGATGTTAGGTTATATTAGATCACTACCACTATCGGTGTGTCCTGACACACCTAGCAAGGTATGCCAGGGTTATTATGCACGTGCGGATTCACCCCCTAAAAACCAGAAAAATGAGAAATTGTAGTACACATGCCATTTTCCTTTTCTTTAATTGAAAATAAGATATATTAGATAAATTAAAATATCATTAATGATTTGTATTAAAATAAAAAAATAAAATATCAAAATTCATAATTTTTCATTCTCTATAAATAGAGATCACATTTGATAGGTTTTTTTAACATAATTAATTTTTTTTTCGTAATCAATTTATTATAGTGACACAGGATGAACATGTTACATAATAAGATGAATATAATATCAAATAAGATGAACATGTTATGGATTGCAGAATGAAATAATACATATTCATCTTATTTTATAACATGTTCATCTCATTTTGTAACATATTCATCTTATTTTATAACATGTTCATCTTATTGTGTAAATATGTAACATGTTTATCTTACTATGTAACATGTTCATCTTATTATGAATTTGTGTCTTCATCTTCCAATAAGATAAATTAATTGTGAAAAGTGATAAATTAATTATGTTCTAGAACCTATCAAATGTGGTCTCTGTTTGTAGAGAATGAAAAATTATGAATTTTGGCATTTTTATTTTTATTTTTTAATATAAAATATGAATGATAATTTAATTTATATAATATGATATGTAAAATTCATAATCCAATAGAAATGGGGCACATGTCCCATTTAAAAAAAAAACCTTATCTCACGCGCTTTTTTGAGGAATTGTATTTCATAAAGGCCTTGCACACCCTGACACACCTAATTATTTGCGCCTTTATAGGGGCACATAACCTCATCTGATTATTAAATTAATTATTTTCTGATTCAGGTGACAAAGTTCAGTACCATTGTCGTGTGCCCGGCACACCTAGCAAGGTGTGCCAGGACAATTATGCACGCGCGGATTCACCCCCAAAAACCAGAAAAATGAGAAAGTGTAATACACATGCCACTTTCTTTTTTTTTTTTAATTGAAAATGAGACATATTAGATAAATTAAAATATAATTAATGATTTATATTAAAATAAAAAAATAAAAATATCAAAATTCATAATTTTTCATTCTCTATAAATAGAGACCATATTTGATAGGTTTTTGAACATAATTAATTTTTTTTTTCGTAATCAATTTATTATAGTGACATAGGATGAACATGTTACATAATAAGATGAATATGTTATAAACTAAGATGAACATGTTACGGATTGCAGAATGAAATAATACATGTTTCATCTTATTTTATAACATGTTCATCTCATTTTGTAACATATTCATCTTGTTTTATAACATGTTCATCTTATTGTGTAAATATGTAACATGTTCATCTTATTCTATAACATGTTATAACATATTCATCTTATTATGAATTTGTGTCTTCATCTTCCAATAAGATAAATTAATTGTGAAAATTGATAAATTAATTGTGTTGTAAAACCTATCAAATGTGGTCTCTATTTGTAGAGAATGAAAAATTATGAATTTTGGCATTTTTATTTTTATTTTTTAATATAAAATATGAATGATAATTTAATTTATATAATATGATATATAAAATTCATTATCCAATAGAAATGAGACACATGTCCCATTTAAAAAAAAAAAAAAAAACCTTACCTCACGCGCATTTTTTAGGAATTGTATTTCACAAAGGCATTGCCACATCTAGGCCAAGCCAAGTGAGCTCGAAGTATCCTCTGAGATGCAAAATGGAGAGCTTCTGCTCTTAAAAGGTTCATACAAAAGCTGAACCGACTTGAATCTTCACTACCCTTCTTCAGATTCGGAGCCATATCATATACCCTTTTTTTCTATAGGAAGGAAGTCCGAAAGCTTCTTCTCTTTCATATGCTACATTGCTCACTGAACTCCAAAACCCTGACGGTGACTCTCAATTGCATTGACCCAACTCTAAAAACGAAGCGAACCGCAGTGAAGTTTCGGGTTGACTCCCCACCTGGCTGCGAAATCTAAACCGGGTGGATTTAAAAAACCTCGCGAATTAACACCTGCCCATTAGGGAGACTCAACTACAGAACTCTGGAGGGAAGATATGAGAATTTGGATTTGATCTTTTATATAGATTAGCAAGGAAAGAAAGAACAACACAGATCTAGTGACGGACGTCGTACTCACGCGCTTCGGCTTGGTCCCGCTAGTAGTAGTCTCATTCCCAGCCATCGGTAATACTATCGTATTAATCTTTCTTTACGTGGAAGTAGTTCAAAGCTTCCTTGAGATCTTATCTCTCCAGTATCTATAGGAAGAAATCCCCGTATTGCGATTCCGCTTTTTTTTTATAGGAATAAACGACTTTTTTTTTTTTTAACATATCAC